GGAAAATGAATGACAACCTCCCTCAAAGAATCTTCAAAAATTAGGGTTAATATAATTGTTTTAATGATCCCAAATACCTTCTTTAATCTTTAGGTAGAAAATGGCATCCATTTCTCAAAAATTATTAGAGATTAAGTGCATATTTAAGAGGACAGCTATATTTTACTTACTACTCATAAACAGTCCAGCCCAAAATTATATAAACAGAATTATATGTAAGAATGTGAGAATTAGGAAATCACATTAAAACCAAATATTATTTATCTGAATTCCAATTCATGACACAATTCAATGTCTTTATTATTATTATTTTTAACTTGGAGATTATATAGACCAAGAAAAAAACCCTATTATTTACCTTCATTCAAACTGATTGTTGGGCATTAGTTGACAATTTCCAAGTCCTGGAAGAGAATTATAGATGTGAGTTGTTTTTGTTTTTAATTTAGGATGAAGGTTGTGAGTTTCATTCCCTGATTTCCAGTGTGAATTTGAACAAAAGGACATCTATAATATGTTGCTTTCTTTCATTGCAACCCAGACAAAAGGTGCATGCACTTCTGTAAGTCCTGGTTGGTGTAACCAGAAAGAGGAAACATATTTTCAAATTCATTCAAATTTGTAATTTACTTGAAAAAAAAATACCTACAAATTGTTGTTTGTGAATCTATGACCTGATCAGGGATGTGGGTAGACCAGATCAGGATGTGGGTAGACCTGATCTGGTCTATTTATTTGTCACAGGTGATTCAGGAAACCAAAAGAGGGGATCACCTGGTTTAGCTTTCTATACAACAATGTTATTCTACACAGAATTAACCTATCTTCAATTTCACATATAGGCGACTTCCCTCACCCAATAAAAAATTAGGACTCTTCTCCATTTATACACCTGGCAAATTGTTTAATAACCTTGGAAGAAATAAGCAGAAATAAGCATAATCTTATGTCTCAAAATGCACTGCCTTAAAAAGAGGTTGGGAAAGATATATAGTGAAAGAAACATAAAAATGCATAATTATTGACAATTATTAAAGAAATACAAGAGATACAAATATTGTTCTTTTTTTCACTTCAGAGTAAAACTAAATAAACTAAGTTGTGTAAAGCTTCCAAAGTGAGTACATCATAAAATAGATCATGTTTTCTGTATTATAAGTAAAATACTAACTAAAGAGTGTTAGGCAATCTAGTTTTTTTATTCTGGACCTGAAACAAAGAGGCAGTTCTAGAATAAAATTTCTTGCCATTAATAAAAAGAATACTCTAAGGCTAACATACAAGTTTCTAAAAAAATTTTGTCAACATCTCTTTATAATAATAAAAAAGTTCAAGGCCATGTTTACTGAAAAATTTTGGCAAGTAAAACTTGCACAATTAAAATAAATAGTGTCACGTGATTTGATTCCCAAAGCCTGGAACTTTGACCTTGACAAAATTCTAATACTATAAATAACTACTTCAGCTGAACAAAATATTAAACCACTAATTCTCAAAGAATGTGAATGTGCCTTTTCAATGGGTATGTCCCATGCAAATATTTAGCAAGGACTTATTCATTCAATAAATTTTTATTGTGTCTACCAATGACAGGCCCCTTGTCAGGCAATCAGGCAATGAAGATACAATGGTGACCAAGACCAATATAATGTCTCTCTGTAAAGGGCTAAGAAAAGCAGAGAAACAGACAATTAACAATTAATTATGTAAAGTAATCATCATAAGCAGGGTATGTTAACTAATGTATAAAGTCAAGGAAGGCTTTCTGGAGGCCTTCTGGAGGCAGGTCAGAGACAGTGTCCTTAGAAATGTTCAAGACTATGGCAATAGAACTGTATTTTTCAGCAAGTTACTGTTATTCACTCCCATCAGGTAAATTATTCTCATAATACATACAGGTTGATTTATATTCTAGACTATGTTCAGTGCAATATGCTTCTTAAAGAGGCTTTATAAATCAAAAGTTCTTAGCTACAGTTTCAAACATCAAAAGGAATCATTTCACTTCAGGAGAAATCAAATAAGCATAATAAGTGAAGTGGCAACACAGATTTAAAATATTTCTGAAAAAAGACAGATTGACCTCATGCATTTCTTTCAACTTCTTCCTCCCCTAATCACTTTAAAATCACAATAAAGGAATCCTTTTTAAGGTATCAACATAGAAGAACTGAGAAAAGGAAAAAGGAAAGGAGGCTAAAACACTCAGGAGAATTCATCAGGACAACTGATGTAGAGGAGCAGAAGCTCTACCTTGAGACCAAATGGAAGCCAACTGATGTGTAGTACATACCCCAGAGAGGATAAAGCCTTGGAAACACAAGGACTTGTGGAGACAGAAGTGGCTAGGTGGAAAACAGAGGATTAAATCACAATAAGTAAGTTTATCACTGACACTCCCCCAACACACATACTTTCACACATATGTGCATGTGAGCCTGCATCCAGTAGATTACTGCTCCTTCCCTTCTTCCTGCTTTGGGAAAGCTCAATGACACCAGAGAAAAAGACTTATGAAATACTGACAATTGGATGCCATTCTAATGAAAAGTGCAGATTACCAAATGAAAAGCCATGGTCGTACAAAGAGTTTCTGAGTGCCTCTCATATAGATAGGCAACCACCACAGATATGTGAGGAAAACCTCCAAAATGAAAGTGAGCACTGAGAAAATCAACAGGAATAAAGAACCTGAAAGAAACAACAAGATGCATGGAGTAGGCGACAATAAAAAACAAAACTATAATTAACATCCTAATGGTAAAAAGAGAAACTTAGAAGCCATAAAACAAAATTGAAGTCTGTAACTTATGAACCTCAGAGAAAACAAAACAGTTCTTTAAATTAAAAAGTTTGGATAGCTGAAATAAAACATTCAATAGGAGGGTTGCAAGATTAATTCAAAGATATCCCCCATTAAAAAAAAGAACAAACAGAAAGATTTATAAATTGGAATACAGGAAAGATTAGAATTAGAACTAGATGAGAATCTGCCAGGAAGTTTATCTTCAGACTAACAGAAGTTCTAGAAAAGGAAAACAAGAAAATGGAGAAGAGGAAATTGCCCAAGAAATAATACAAGAAAAGTATAAGAATTTTCAGACATGAACTTCCATATGTAAAGACCCTCAAGTATCTAGCACAATAAATGAAAAAATGACCACATCAAAGCTCATTACTGTAAAATTTTCAAACACCAGGGACAAAGAGAAGACTATAAGAGTTTTCAAAGGGGGCTAAAAAGTCAAACACAAAAGGAATAAGGATCAGAATGTAGGACTGGAAACTTGGGAAGGGTAAGACACAGGACTTTAGTATTATTTGACTTCCAAAACACTGTACAGGAATTTTTATAAACACTAAGCAATAATAACATAAATAGATAATATATAATTAGAAAATAAATGAATAAAAGAAAATACAAAACAAATTCAATGAACACTTACTACATGCTAGCCATATCATTTTGTTTTAAACTTATTAACTCATTTAATTCTCACAACTCTATGAGGAAGACTATTAACCTCATTTTATGGATGAGGAAAAAGGCATTGGGAAGTTAAGTAATACTACAACTAGTAGAAGTTAACTAGCTAGAGTCCTAGCTTTCTCAGTGTGGTCTTTTAAAAAGCTGCATGATCCTCTCTCTCAACTTTAAAAGTAAAATTAGTTTTAAAAAAGAAGGAAATACTATTTTTATCTTAATCCTAACTGGTTCCCAGATCAACTATGGTTGACTAAAACTTCTGACTTGGTTAATGAAGATACAAGTTTAATGTGTCTACATATGTTGGGGACTTGTGTGGGGGATGGGGCATGAAAGTTGAGGGTATACTTGCTATTATTCTAAGTATTCATCATATAAAGATACTTTATACTATGTATTTATGATTTGCTGCTAGAAGGTCCATAACGAAGATTTCCTGATCTAAATGCAATTAAACCTCCACCAGAGGAACTGATGCATTTATCAGATCATCTCTGTGCATCTGGACAAAGAACAAAGGATATGTATATGTCATTAAAGTTAAAAAGTGAAGAGCTGCCTCTTTCCTAAATTATTTTCATCTAAGCCCTTCACACTCTTCCAGTCTTGCATGGAAAATTTCCCTAAACGATTTCGTAGTTGTTTACATGACTATTTATTAAACATACCGAAATGACAAATGGATGGTGCCTCTGTATTCACTCTAGCCTTATAATCATCTTTACCATGTATGATCAGCTACACAATGATACCTGAACATTTTCATTTGAAGTTCTTCTGTAGGAGTTACCTTCACTCAGCTTCTTACTTTTGCAATCCTATCCATGTTCTCACTTGTTGTCCCCACTAGAGATCCTGGCTTTAACTGGGGGTGGGTATGGGGTGGGGAAATAAGAGAAATTTATTCGTTTTGAATAGATTTTCAATTTTTTCTTTTCCAATCTGGTGACATCTTCATTTTTTCTGACTTATGATGAGGCTACAGAGTTATGACGTTTCCTCTCTAATTATCCATACGATAATGTAGCAGCTTCTGAGACCTCAGACCACTGGACCCAGCGCACTGTACCCCGCAAGTCATCCGACTCCAGACTGGAGTCCCCATCTCTCACAGATGCAGCCTTCCACGTTCTGCCTGTCACCCCCTTGACTGCTTGGGAATCGGTTTTTGCTGTTGCCTTGCCTTGGTTTTGGGTTTTGGTTGACAGGTGGTACGAGCAGCAACCTTTAAGGCCCTAACACATCAATGACAGTATCCTTAATGTCCTCCCAGCACCCGGGTGAACAGGCCAGTGGCTGCCCGGCCTAGAACGTCTAGGTCTTGCTCACGGGCTCTCCCATCCGCGGAGCTCACATCGCGACAACCTCCAATGTCCGGTGTCACTGTGGCCCAGTCTCAGGCGCACCCTGCACGCTGTCACCGGCCCTGCCCGCGCTCAGGTGGAACACCTGGCCCACGCTCGCGCGTCACCTGCGGGCGGGCCGGCGCGCACGCACGCGCTCACGCACATACCGTTTCCTTGGCAGCCGCGACCGGGATGGGAAGCAGACCCCGGCCGCGGGGTGGGTCCTCCGGCTCAGGAGCCGCGCTCTCGAAGGGGCGCCCGGGGGCCGGCGCCCGCGCGGAGTCGACCTTGGCGTCCCCATACAGCTGGTAGCACACGAGGCCGACCAGACCCCCGCCGGCCGCCGCCGCGATGCTCAGCTCCCCCCAGCGCCGCCGCCGCCTCCACGCCGCCTGAGCCACAGCCCCCTCTTCTTCCTCCCGGCGAGAGAAGGGCCGGCCGGGAGGGCCCGGGGCGATCCCCGCAGGCCGCCCCCACGGCCCGGGGAAGGGCTGGTGAGCGGAGCGCGGAGGCGGGAGCCGCGGCGGCGGCCACAAGAGCCTCCGCAGCGCAGCCATAGCGGGAGCCGCCCGCACCAGAGATAGGAGGGGGCGGCGCGGGGTGGAGGGGGCTCCGAAACCTCGCGAGAAGTCGGTGCGCGGAGGTTCGCGGTTGTGAGAGAACGACCCCTGCAACCCTGGGGCCTGAGGTGCCCTCCCGGCAGCCTCGCAGCGGGGGCCCGGGGGGTCTCGGGCCGGGAAGAGCCTGCAGGGCGGGGTGGATCCCGGCTGCTCCTCCGCCACGCACTCCCAGCCCAACCCCACAGTCATAAATAACTGCGCCTGTCCCCGGCGACACCTGACCGCGCGAGAACCCAACACCGCAGCTGCAGCCAGGGCGGCGGAGCTCGCCGAGCCCTCGTGTGCGGGGCAGCCCGGGCTCCCGTCTCCTCGGCTTTGCGGGGTGGGTCTCAGATCACTGGGAGCGACCCTCAAGACAGTCACATACCCTAACGGTATCCTGATGTTCTAACGCAAGGTCGTGAATCATTTGCAATTGTTTCTTCACGTGCACAACAAAAATTTGGCTCAAGTCGTTAAGATGTCAGATTGAGTCAAAAGATGTTTTGACTACACAACGACAGTTTTTGGACTTTTAATGGGGAACGCTAGTGCTGTTTTTTAATTACCGTTAATATATGTATTTAAAAACATTACCATACCTGTGTAATACGGTCACTTAATTCAACAAAATAACTGTCTTGAAAGATACGGTTACTTTTGGGGGGAAGCTGTTTCTATTAATATAAATAATAAATGCATCATCTTTGTTTTCATTCTTGACACTTGGTTTTGGTATTTGTGACAGTGTCAGGATCACTTTTATGGTAAGGTACATATGACATTCTTACCAGTTTCCCACCCCTACCCCAGTTTGGGTTAATTGAGTTATACTAGCTTTGGTCTCTATACTCTGTAATGGTGCCAGGAGCCCCTAAAATTTATTCGGGGTCTAGGGGTGTAGACAACTAAACCCAGTAGTCTCAATTGGGCTGCAGTCACAAGGGCATTAGATCAACTGATTCTGACAATTCTTATGAAGACCGATGGCTTTCAAAAGGGCCAAAATGAAGTTACCTGGCCCAGATCCTGCTATTCCCATTCCTCACCCCTTGCTTATAAATAATCTATGAGATTCCCCTAAGTTACATCTTGTTTTAATATAGGTTAGTAGAATTTACCTATCCTAAAGCCAATAAAAGTGGTAAACATAAAAATCCTTCATAATGTCTGAACAAAAATGCATCTATTGGGATGACATTTCTGTATTTCTTTCACTTTCAGTCTGTTGGTTTTATATAACCAATGCCATAGGAAGGAAGACTCAGTGGTAGCTCCTTGCTTTCTCAGATTCCTTCAATTCCTGCCCTCTCTGAATTCTGGAAAAGTATAGTACTCAAAAAGAAACATTTATTCTCTGGATATATAACACAGCTCTTCTTCTGGCATTGTTTATTTTGAACTGAACACAGTTTCCGCATTTTCACATAAATTTCCAGCATGGCCTAATAGAATTCTTAAACAGACTGATGAATGTTTATTAGTGTTAGATTAAAAGCTTTAAAGAGAATTAGGGAGGTAATAGAGTAACATCATATTACATATAAGGAAAATGACAGAAATTCTCCTTCTGAGGTGACTTCAGATATGTACATAATGTCTCTCTAGTTTTAATAATATGTCCCTGCAAATCATTTCTCTGACTAGAAGCCAAATTCTTCTGTGAGAGATGCTGGATTTAGGTTTGTTAGGTAGTCAGAGAGCTTTGGATAAAAGGTTTTCCTACATGAGAGAGTTATTCTAACTCCGCTGTACCTTCCCTCCAAATTTCCCTAAGAATATTTATTGTTTTTTTCTCATAGTTGAGTCTCTGTAACTGTAGCAACATAAAAACAACCATATTCCTTTATTACTTGTATATTTTTCTGAGTGTAAGTTTTAAGGGAAACAGTTATAACAAACCATGATATTAAGAATTTGGAATTTTTTTTGAAATATTACAGATGATATTAGTAGATCAATATAGAGTTGGCTCTATTTCCTTAATTTTTTTGTCAAGTCCACTGATCATTAAGAATATCCAAAAAATATCCCTACTACACAATGAGAACCCACAACTTCAAAAAAATACTAACTTATGTTCACTCACTCACAGTCTAAGTAAAAAGAATGCCCTGAGGCATTTAAAAAATGTTTTCAACAGCAGAGATCAAGCCAAATGGTATTTTAGGAAAGCATATCTATCAGGAGAGTGATAAACTACAAAGCAAAAGATCTGGACTCTTGGTTGTACTACATCTTACTTGTGTAATTTTATAATATTTGGGAGCCCACCATTTCCTATGAAATAATAGAATTGAATAGGTGATCATCTTCTGTACCTATGGTCCTAATTAACTTAAATGCTCCAAGCATATCAGGAAACTATATACAGATACTTGGTGGCATTTTTCACACATCATTTCTCTTTTCAAAACCTACAATTGCCCTATAATTGCTTTATTATTTTCAATTAGAATTCCAACTTGTGACCTAATTATTTTAACCTTTCACTACTTTTTAAGTTGAAAATAAAAGAGTGACATTTACATTTTCAAAGTGTGAAAATTAAGTGTAACATGTCATGCCTAAGTAGAAATGTCTTGTCTTAACAAACTCCTATTAAAATATATTTTACTCAGGGCACCAGAATCTTGACTGTTGAAAGAGGAGCAATTATATTTAAGGCCATACATCAGGGCACATAAGCACCCCCAACCCAAGGCCACTCAGTCTGACACAGGAAGGCTATCAGCCAAAGAGTGAGGCTGCATCAAGCCCCCTCTCCCTTGAGAAAGTTGTCATAAAAATTGTCTCCATCTCTGGTACTGTCTTCCTAAGGGGACAATAGGCAAAATCAAAGAAGAAAGTGGTGGGTAAAGGGTATTCTGTGGTGTCACCATCTTTTCTTGTTTTTGTTTTTTTTTTTTTTTTTGTCTTCAAAGTGCTAGCCACAAGGAGTCTAGAAGTCAGTTCCCTAGAGTCCAGGGCTATGGAAACCATGTTACCCAAGGCACTGAGGGGCTGTTTTCTATTTTGACTATCACCTACTCCCAAAGACAGACTGATGATAGTTTGCACCCTGCCCTTTTCCAAACTTAGTCAAAACTAAGCTGTGTCTAAGCTCCATGAAGCCAGAACATGTATTCAGCCCAGCTTCTGGCACACAGTAGGACCTCAATACCTGTTAATTAAATTGAGAAAGGGAATTGATTATTGTAGTTGGGGGGAGAAGGTCCAGATGGGAAGGCAAAACATGAAACATGGAAATAAAATAGCCCATGAGATGCTAAAGGGGCTGTTAAACTATACAGCTCATCTGGAAATGCAGTTAATGCAAGTGGAAGGCCAGCAAGGGGTCGGCAAGGAAGGAGCAGAGGCAGATTATGGTCGAGGAAGATGGTTGATTCAGGAATAAAATTTATGGTTTTGTGATTTTGTGATTTGAAGCCATCCTCTTACGTATGATAATTTGGCATGATCCTGATGGACTTAAAGCCTTAAAACAATAGGCTTCCACTGGGTTTTTTTGTTTTTTTGAGGAATTCCAGAATGATCCCTGGCCAAAGGTCAGTGACTTGACCTTGACACTTCTCTTCATCTCATCAGTGACAGCAACCAAGCTGCCAGTTGTACACATTTAACTACCTAACTTCAAGACCAGTAATAATCTCACTTTGACCATTACATCTGTGTAGTCTGATTTATATAATTTCTGATTTTACATTATTTCTAAGGTCTTTGCTAACAGTGTTCAACTTTTGTTGCCTTTGTCCTCCATCTGGTGGCAGGAACTTCTTATCTTATGTATTTGAGAAACAAGGAATAGCAGCTCAGACTTGCTACTTGCAAAGTCTCCTGTCATATTTCATTGTCATGCCTGACAGGGATTAAAGCTTCTATGCCTACTAAAAACTGTTGTCTGGTGGAGAATAGCCTCAGAGTAATATAATGATCATTCATTATGCAATCAAGACACTAGGGCAGCAAAACAAATAATATAATCTTTCTCAAGTGGTTGGTAGTAAATCATAGAGTTGACCATATGTATACCCTTTGACCCCTCAGTTTCACTCTTAGATGAAATATTCATCAGTAATGAGTGCTTATGTGCACCAAAAGACATATAAAAGAATATATATAATTGGCCAATATACTAGAAAGTATTCATATGTCTCAACAATGGCCTGGATTTGTTTCTTTAAAGTGTGGTATATTCACAAAACTGAATGCTATATAGCAATGAAAATTACTGAACTAAAACTAAATGCAATCACATGGATGAATTTCACAAACAGAAAGTTGAGTCAAAGAAAGCAGACACAAAAGAATTAACTTTTACAATGTTACAATGTTCAAAAACAACTATATATATATATATGTATATGTATATATACTTCATTTCTCTTTTCAAAACCTACAATTGCCCTATAATTGCTTTATTATTTTCAATTAGAATTCCAACTTGTGACCTAATTATTTTAACCTTTCACTACTTTTTAAGTTGAAAATAAAAGAGTGACATTTACATTTTCAAAGTGTGAAAATTAAGTGTAACATGTCATGCCTAAGTAGAAATGTCTTGTCTTAACAAACTCCTATTAAAATATATTTTACTCAGGGCACCAGAATCTTGACTGTTGAAAGAGGAGCAATTATATTTAAGGCCATACGTCAGGGCACATAAGCACCCCCAACCCAAGGCCACTCAGTCTGACACAGGAAGGCTATCAGCCAAAGAGTGAGGCTGCATCAAGCCCCCTCTCCCTTGAGAAAGTTGTCATAAAAATTGTCTCCATCTCTGGTACTGTCTTCCTAAGGGGACAATAGGCAAAATCAAAGAAGAAAGTGGTGGGTAAAGGGTATTCTGTGGTGTCACCATCTTTTCTTGTTTTTGTTTTTTTTTTTTTTTTTGTCTTCAAAGTGCTAGCCACAAGGAGTCTAGAAGTCAGTTCCCTAGAGTCCAGGGCTATGGAAACCATGTTACCCAAGGCACTGAGGGGCTGTTTTCTATTTTGACTATCACCTACTCCCAAAGACAGACTGATGATAGTTTGCACCCTGCCCTTTTCCAAACTTAGTCAAAACTAAGCTGTGTCTAAGCTCCATGAAGCCAGAACATGTATTCAGCCCAGCTTCTGGCACACAGTAGGACCTCAATACCTGTTAATTAAATTGAGAAAGGGAATTGATTATTGTAGTTGGGGGGAGAAGGTCCAGATGGGAAGGCAAAACATGAAACATGGAAATAAAATAGCCCATGAGATGCTAAAGGGGCTGTTAAACTATACAGCTCATCTGGAAATGCAGTTAATGCAAGTGGAAGGCCAGCAAGGGGTCGGCAAGGAAGGAGCAGAGGCAGATTATGGTCGAGGAAGATGGTTGATTCAGGAATAAAATTTATGGTTTTGTGATTTTGTGATTTGAAGCCATCCTCTTACGTATGATAATTTGGCATGATCCTGATGGACTTAAAGCCTTAAAACAATAGGCTTCCACTGGGTTTTTTTGTTTTTTTGAGGAATTCCAGAATGATCCCTGGCCAAAGGTCAGTGACTTGACCTTGACACTTCTCTTCATCTCATCAGTGACAGCAACCAAGCTGCCAGTTGTACACATTTAACTACCTAACTTCAAGACCAGTAATAATCTCACTTTGACCATTACATCTGTGTAGTCTGATTTATATAATTTCTGATTTTACATTATTTCTA